TTAAAAAGCAATGGAGATAAAACCAAAGAGCGCAAAAACAAAAAAGAAAGGAAAAATGTTGCTTAGACAAAGCCTAGACACCCAGGCTGAACCCTAACCAGCCATTCTTACAAAATCCTTTTACCAATAAAATTCAACCCTCTAAAACACAAACCATTGATTTCTACCTCTTTGCTTCTTTTCTCTTGACCCTCACAACAATATTCTAGTAATTAATTTGGGAATATGGAGGCGTATAGTCAACAAGAGGATTGAAATCCCTCAAGCAAGGAAAAAGGGACACTACATGACAAAAGTGTTCTACAAAAGAAAGAAAGAAATTACCCTTCGGTCACAAGAAGTCCGGCATGGTACAGCCAAAAGTAAACGCGGCGAATCAGAAGGCTTTCAGCACAACGAGACACGCTGGTTAAATCCTTCTGAAAAACTAATTAAAGTAGGCATTATAGGACATCAAACATGAAAATATTTGCATGCATAAAATGTTTTTGAACCAGGTCCTATTTCTTATTCAAAAAAAAAAAAAACACCAGAAATTTGAGACCGCCGTCTGGACATTCCAGACCGCCGTCTCGATTCCCCGCAAATCGAGACCGCCGTCTCGAGGAACCGGACCGCCGTCTCGACTTAGGCAAAGTCGAGACCACCGTCCGGAACCTCCAGCACCGCCATCTCGACCAAGCAACCCAAACGAGACCGCCGTCTCGACTTCCCGCACGGCGGTCTCGATCCGAAAAATTTCCTATATAAGGGGCGCGCTCGGATGGGTTTCCTCACAACTCTCCTTGCCTCCCGAGCCTCCAGAGCCTCCAAAACTCATATTTCTACTCCTCCAAGCCTTCCCCGCTCAAAGATGTTCGGAAGAAGTGCCTCCAGGAAGAGAAGGGGCACCGCCGGTGCTAGCGGCTCGGCGCCACCGCCACCCTCAGATCCTTCTCAGCTGTCACCACAGCACCAGGCCCGCCTGGACAACATCAGGAACTACCAGTGGCACTCCATGCTGACACTGGACTTCGGCGTCCTAGCCGAGTTTGGATGGGAGGAGGACGTCAGAGCCCACATCGACAACATTGGGTGGGGCTTTCTGCTGCGAACCCCACCCACACATGTGTACCCCCAAGCGGTACAAGAGTTCTTGGCCTCCGTCTCTCTCATCGAGATCCCCTCCATGGCCTCGGGCATGCAGCCCACTAAGATGGTCAACTATTTCATGGGTGGGCAATACCACACCACCACCCTGGAAGAATTCAATGTGTCCATTGGATTCATCCGGCCCGAGGAAGCGCTGACCTGGGAATACCGAGAGGCCATCTGCTCTCGGCCCGCCAACCTCACCCCCGCGGAAATGTGGCATGAGCTCACAGGAGCAACCACACTGCCCACTTTGATGAGAGGCTCCGCACTGCAATTGGCACTCCGCATTTGCCACAAGCTGCTGGCAGGCACAATCCATGGGAGGAAGGAGAGCCAGGGTAAGATATCCCTCCTTGATCTCTTTGCCCTCTACTGCATGCACCAGAGGCGGCGCTGCAACCCCGGATACTTTCTCCTAAGGGCCCTTAAGGACTTCGGGAGCAGATCCACGGGGGCCGACCTCATAGCTCCCCTCATCATCCCTTTGGCAGAGAGAAGGGGGTGCCCTGGCCGGGAAGAGCTGGCCCGCAACCTCTGACCCGAGCCCATCAATGGGCCAATGCTAGTCAGCATGGGGATGCTGATACGTCAGGGAAACCAGTTTGCCCTGCACCCCTCCCTGGACTTCGAGCTGGATCTCCAAGGGATCGTGGCGATGCAGGATATGCCCACATCCCCCGCTCCCAACAAGAATAACAACGAAGCAAGAATGACCACCACCGTACACAGAGGACTTTGCCGGCATGCACCAACACATGAATGATCCGAGCCAGCAGTTCAGCCAAATAGCGGTGTGGCGAGAGCAACGGACCCAGTGGCAGCAGGCCCAGGATGCTCGCCAGCAGGCCTTTCAAGCTCGCTAGGACGAGATCTACCAGGAGCAGCAGAGGATACGGCAGGAATGGACGACATTCCAAGAGGACTACCGTGATGAAGTCCAAGAGCAAATAGACTTCCGGTATCACATGTACAAAGGGTTTCCTTACTCCGATTCCCCTGATGATAGCCCTTAGGGACTGTACTGGCCTAAATAAAAGCTGTTGTAATAAAATTTCCCATGAATAAAATTTTATTCCATGCATTCTTTGCCTTCTTTTACAAAAGTCAGCGTAACAAAAAATAACTTAAAAGAGAAAAGGCATACGCTCAAGAAAAAAGCCAAAATCCAAAATCGCGAGAAAAAAGAGATAAAACCGCGAGAAAAAGGCAGGATTAAGCCATCACCTCAACCAATAAAAATCGACTACCAAGAGTCAAACACAAAGAGAGATAACCCGACCAACCAGCAAGAGTCGGATGACTACCACCAAAAGTAAAAAAGCAAAGAATCCCCGGCCATCAATGGAGCTGGATGAACAAACCAACAAAATCCCCGGCGCAGCCCGGACGACCATCCAAGAAGTCCAAGAACATCTACCAGCACAGAAATCACTCCCCAGTGAAACGGCGCATGAGCTACCCGAGCAGTAAGCCGCCACCACCACCAGTCCTACGCCACGGACTGTACCAGCCTGATAGGGGGTTTATACCTATCAACCAGCACACAAGGAGTGCCTAAACGGCGCATGAGCTACCCGAGCAGTAAGCCGCCACCACCACCAGTCCTACGCCACGGACTGTACCAGCCTGATAGGGGGTTTATACCTATCAACCAGCACACAAGGAGTGCCTAAACGGCGCATGGGCCACCTGAACAGTAAGCCGCCACTACCACCCTGATGGGGGTTTCATACCCATCCGGTCCCACACAACGGACCGTACCACCCTGATGGGGGGTTCATACCCATCCGGTCCCACACAACGGACCGTACCACCCTGATGGGGGGTTCATACCCATCCGGTCCCACACAACGGACCGTACCACCCTGATGGGGGGTTCATACCCATCCAGTCCCACACAACGGACTGTAACTACCAGCCTGATGGGGGGTTAATACCCATCAACCGAAGGATCGGCTACGTTAGGAGTAGTATCCGGAGGTTCTACCACGTGTCAACCAAAGGGATCGGCTACGTCAGGAGTAGTATCCCGGAGGTGCATAAATACAACATCTCCCCAGAGGATCATCCGCCACAAGACGGACGTCCGAAGGGTAGCCGGCGAGAAGGTCAACTCCTTTACCTTCCTGTCTACCTGTCCGGCACAACAAAGCCAACGACTCGACTAGTCGGGTAAAGGGGGGCAGCTGTAGACCCCGGATCTTGCCCGGCCTCCAAATAAAGTCGAAGACCCCTATTTGAAGACGGCCGAAGCCTAACAAGCCACTAGGAGAGACTATTAGGCCCCCGTACTAAGATAGGAGGGTTTTTTGGCCCGAAAAATAAAGTTTCTCGCCCTGAAGGGACGAGACCGCCGTCTGGAAGGACCAGACCGCCGTCTCGCCTCACGCCAGGGACGAGACCGCCGTCTCGCTTGTCCAGACGGTGATCTCGACTTCTACCTAGTCGAGACGGCGGTCTGGATTATCCAGACGGCGGTCTCGACCCCCTGCCATGGTCGAGACGACGGTCTGGATTGTCCAGACGGCGGTCTCGACCCTGTCAGACGAAACGGCGGTCTCGACCTGTCACGCGCGAAAAACTATAAATAGGGGCTCCATTTCCCCTTTTCCACACAATAAAAACACAGTAGCTCCTCCTTCTCTCTAGATTTTTTCTCTCTAGAACCCCTCCGAAGCATTTCCGGAGTTTCTGAGTGTCTCTAGGTATAAATTGAGCGTCCTAAATCTTCTTTAGAATCCCTCCGAGGCATTTCTGGAGTTTCTGAGAGTTGTAGAGTGAAGGGTTGCCAAAAAGCACCCACTCTTTAAAGAGAAATATAAAAAGCTTGCTTTGGAGGTGCATACTCTCCCTTTCTATCTTTACTGCTTTCATTTAAATTATGCAATAAACTTAGGGCCATGTAGTCATAAATTTAAATACCGCATAATTAAAGGGTAAAAGCGCAATTTTCTAGTTTAATTATTTATCCAAAGTAGTCGGCCTATCATAGGGAACCCGAAAGGGGCGTCGTAAAGGAACTAACACTTCCTTTACACGTAACTAACTCCCTTACCCAACTCTGGTTCTAATGACCAAAGTTGGTTTTCGAAAACCAACGCCTTTTTAAACTCTTTTTCCAATGTTTCCGATAAAAACATCGGTGGCGACTCCACGAACCCTTCAAAACCCGTTCTTGGGTTAGCCCGGTTATCGGACAACCCAAGAACACTTTTCGAAAACCTCGTCTCTAGGTTAGCCCGGTTATTGGACAACCTAAGGACGTTGTAACCACCCATAAAAAACGTGAAAACAAGAGGGTCGAAAAACCATCACGTCGCTCCGACCGCCCCTTCGTTTTTGGGAGGCGGCGACATAGGGAAAGAGAAGAAGTTTGGGATGGAGAAGAAGTTAAGGATGGAGAAGAAGTTTGGGATGGAGGAGAAGTTTGGAATGGAGGAGAAGAAATTAAGGAAGAAAAGTTTAGGAAGGAGAAGAAGTTAAGGAAGAAGAAATTTTGGATGGAGAAGAAGTTAAGGATAAAGAAGAAAGTATGGATGGGGTAGAAGTTTGGGATGGAGAAGAATCTACTAAGTATGGAGAAGAAATTAAGGAAGAAAAGTTTAGGAAGGAGAAGAAGTTAAGGAAGAAGAAATTTTGGATGGAGAAGAAGTTAAGGATAAAGAAGAAAGTATGGATGGGGTAGAAGTTAAGGAAGGAGAAGTTAAGGAGGGAGAAATGATTATGGATGGAGAAGAAGTTAAGGAAGGAGAAGAAGGTAGGGAAAGAGAAGAAGTTTGCGATGGAGAAGAAGTTAAGGATGGAGATGAATTTTGGGATGGATGAGAAGTTTGGAATGGAGGAGAAGAGTCGAAGTTTGGAGAAGAAATTAAGGAAGAAAAATTTAGGAAGGAGAAGAAGTTAAGGAAGAAGAAGTTTTGGATGGAGAAGAAGTTTAGGATAAAGAAGAAATTATGGATGGGGAAGAAGTTTGGGATGGAGAGGAAGTTTGGAATGGAGAAGAATCTACTAAGTATAGAGAAGAAATTAAGGAAGAAGAAGTTAAGGAAGGAGAAGAACTTTGGGATGGATAGGATAGGAGATTATAGTTAAGGATGGAGAAGAAACTTGGGATGTAGAATGAAGTTAAGGAAGCAGAAGAAGAAGTTCAGGAGGATGGAGAAGAAGTTAGGGAAGGAGAAAAAGTTAAGAATTAAGAACAAGTTAGGGAAGGAGAAGAAGTTAAGGATGGGGAAATAGTTTGGGATGGGGAGGAAGGGAAGGAAGGAAAAGAAGTTAAGGAAGAAGAAGAAGTTTTGGATGGAGAAGAAGTTAAGGGTAAAGAAGAAAGCATGGATGGGGAAGAAGTTTGGGATGGAGAACAAGTTAAGGAGGGAGAAATGATTATGGATGGAGAAGAAGTTAAGGAAGTAGAAGAAATTAGGGATGACGAAGAACGTAAGGATGGAGAAGAAGTTATGGAAGGAGAAGATGTTAAGGAAGAAGGAGAAGAAATTAAGGAAGGAGAAGAAGGTAGGGAAAGACAAGAATTTTGGGATGGAGAAGAAGTTAAGGATGGAGAAGAATTTTGGCATGGAGGAGAAGTTTGGAATGGAGGAGAAGAATCGAAGTATGGAGAAGAAATTAAGGAAGAAGAAGTTTAGGAAGGAGAAGAAGTTTTGGATGGAGAAGAAGTTAAGGATAAAGAGGAAAGTTTGGATAGGGAAAAAGTTTGGGATGGAGAAGAAGTTTTTAACGGAGAAGAATCTACTAAATATGGAGAAGAAATTAAGGAAGAAGAAGTTAAGGAAGGAGAAGAACATTTGGATGGATAGGATAGGGGATTATAGTTAAGGATGGATGAAGAAACTTGGGATGTAGAATGAAGTTAAGGAAGCAGAAGAAGAAGTTCAGGAGGATGGAGAAGAAGCTAGGGAAGGAGAAAAAGTTAAGAATGAAGAACAAGTTAGGGAAGGAGAAGAAGTTAAGGATGGAGAAAATAGTTTGGGATGGGGAAGAAGGGAGGGAAGGAAGGAGAAGAAGTGAGGGAAGAAGAAGAAGTTTTGGATGGAGAAGAAGTTAAGGGTAAGGAAGTATGGATGGGGAAGAAGTTTGGGATGGAGAAGAAGTTAAGGAGGGAGAAATGATTATGGATGGAGAAGAAATTAGGAATGATGAAGAAAGTAAGGATGGAGAAGAAGTTAACGACGTAGAAGATGTTAAGGAAGAGGGATAAGAAATGAAGGAAGGAGAAGAAGTTAGGGAAAGAGAAGAAGTTTGGGATGGAGAAGAAGTTAAGGATGGATAAGAAGTTTAGGATGGAGGAGAAGTTTGGAATGGAGGAGAAGAATCGAAATATGGAGAAGAAATTAAGGAAGAAGAAGTTTAGGAAGGAGAATAAGTTTTGGATTGAGAAGAAGTTAAGGATAAAGAAGAAAGTATGGACAGAGAAGAAGTTTGGTATGGAGAAGAAGTTTGTAATGGAGAAGAATCTACTAAATATGGAGAAGAAATTAAGGAAGAAGAAGTTAAAGAAGGAGAAGAACTTTTGGATGGATAGGATAGGAGATTATAGTTAAGGATGGAGAAGAAACTTGGGATGTAGAATGAAGTTAAGTAAGCAGAAAAAAAAGTTCGGGAGGATGGAGAAGAAGTTAGGGAAGAAGAAAAAGTTAAGAATGAAGAACAAGTTGGGGAAGGAGAAGAAGTTAAGGATGGAGAAATAGTTTGGGATGGGGAAGAAGTGAATGAAGGAGAAGAAGTTAAGGAAGAAGAATAAAGAAGAAAGTATGGATGGGGAAGAAGTTTAGGATGGAGAAGAAGTTAAAGAGGGAGAAATGATTATGGATGGAGAAGAAGTGAAGGAAGTAGAAGAAAAGAGGATGACGAAGAAAGTAAGGATGTAGAAGAAGTTATGGACGAAGAAGATGTTAAGGAAGAAGGAGAAGAAATTAAGGATAGAGAAGAAGTTAGGGAAAGAGAAGAAGTTTGGGATGGAGAAGAAGTTAAGGATGGAGAAGAAATTAAGGAAGAAGAAGTTTAGGAAGGAGAAGAAGTTAAGGAAGAAGAAGTTTTGGATGGAGAAGAAGTTAAGGATAAAGAAGAAAGTATGGATGGGGAAGAAGTTTGGGATGGAGAAGAAGTTTGGAATGGAGAAGAATCTACTAAGTATGGAGAAGAAATTAAGGAAGAAGAAGTTAAGGAAGGAGAAGAACTTTTGGATGGATAGGATAGGAGATTATAGTTAAGGATGGAGAAGATACTTGGGATGTAGAATGAAGTTAAGGAAGCAGAAGAAGAAGTTCAGGAGGATGGAGAAGAAGTTAGAGAAGGAGAAAAGGTTGAGAATGAAGAACAAGTTAGGGAAAGGGAAGAAGTTAAGGATGGAGAAATAGTTTGGGATGGGGAAGAAGGGAAGGAAGGAGAAGAGGTTAAGGAAGACGAAAAAGTTTTGGATGGAGAAGAAGTTAAAGGTAAAGAAGAAATCATGGATGGGGAAGAAGTTTGGGATGGAGAAGAAGTTAAGGAGGGAGAAATGATTATGGATGGAGAAGAAGTTAAGGAAGGAGAAGAAATTAGGGATGACGAATGTCGCCGCCGTAAAAAAGGAGGCGGTCGGAGCGACGCGATAGTTTTTTCGACCCTCTTTGCTTTTCGCGTTTTTTATTGGTGGTTACAACGCCTTTAGGTTGTCTGATAACCGGGCTAACCTAGGGGCAAGGTTTTCGAAAGTATCCCTGGGTTGTCCGATAACCGGGCTAACCCAGGGACTTATTTAATTTGGGTTCTATGGAGTCACCACCGATATTTTTACCATAAACATCGGAAAAGGGGTTTTAAAAAGGCGTTGGTTTTCGAAAACCAACTTTGGTCATTAGAACCAGAGTTGGGTAAGGGAGTTAGTTACGTGTAAAGGAAGTGTTAGTTCCTTTACGACGCCTCTTTCGGGTTCCCTATGATAGGCCGGCTACCTTGAATAAATAATTAAACTGGAAAAATGCGCTTTGACCCTTTTATTATGCGGAATTTAAGTTTATGACTACATGGCCCTAGCTTCTATTGCGTAATTTAAATGGCAGTAATAAAAATAGAGAGGGAGAATATGCACCTCCAAAGCAACCTTTTATATTTTAAAAGAGAGGGTGCGTTTTGGCAACCCTTCACTCTACAACTCTCGAAACTCCGAAATGCCTCTGAGGGATTCTAAAGAAGATTTAGAACGCTCGGTTTATGCCTAGAGACACTCAGAAACTCCAGAAATGCCTCGGAGGGATTCTTAGAGAGAGAAAGTCTAGAGAGAAGGGAGAGTTATGTTGATTCTGTGTGGAAATGAGGGGGGGAGGACCCCTATTTATAGTTTTTCGCGCCTGACAGGTCGAGACCGCCGTCTCCTCTGACAGGGTTGAGACCGCCGTCTGGAAATCCAGACCGCCGTCTCGTTCATGGCAGAGGGTCGAGACCGCCGTCTGGATAATCCAGACCGCCGTCTCGACTGGGCAGGAATCGAGACCGCTGTCTGGGAAACCCAGACCGCCGTCTCGACTTTTGCAGGAATCGAGACCGCCATCTGGGAAACCCAGACCGCCGTCTCGACTTTTGCAGGTGACGAGACCGCCGTCTGGACAATCGAGACGGCGGTCTCGTCCTGGCGTTGAGACGAGACGGCAGTCTGGTCCTTCCAAACGGCGGTCTCGTCCCTTCAGGGAGAGAAACTTTATTTTTCGGGCCAAAAAACCTTCCTATCCTAGTACGGGGGCCTAATAGTCTCTCCTAGTGGCTTGTTAGGCTTCGACCGTCTTCAAATAGGAAGCTTTCTGACTTTATTTGGAGGTCGGGCAAGATTTGGGGTCTACAGCTGCCCCCCCTTTACCCAACTAGTCGACTGTTGGCTTGTTGTGCCAGACAGGTAGACAGGAAGGTAAAGGAGTTGACCCTCTTGCCCGGCTACCCTTCGGACGTCCCGTCTTGTGGCAGGTGATCCTCTGGGGAGATGTTTGTATTGTGCACCTCCGAGATACTACTTTTGGCGTAGCCGATCCCTTTGGTTGACACGTGGTAGAACCTCCGGATACTACTCCTGACGTAGCCGATCCTTCGGTTGATGGGTATAAACCCCCCATCAGGCTGGTAGTTACAGTCCGTTGTGTGGGACTGGATGGGTATGAACCCCCCATCAGGCTGGTACGGTCCTTTGTGTGGGACCGGATGGGTATGAGCCCCCCATCAGGGTGGTAGTGGCAGCTTACTGTTCAGGTGGCCCATGCACCGTTTAGGCACTCCTTTGGGTGCTGGTTGATAGGTATAAACCCCCTATCAGGCTGGTACAATCCGTTGTGTGGGACTAGATGGGTATGGCCCCCCCATCAGGGTGGTACAGTTCACTCTAGTGGACTGGTGGTGGTGGCGTCTTACAGCTCAGGTGGCTCATGCGCCGGCTCCCTGAGGGGTGACTTCTGTGTTTGTGGTTTGGACCTTTCTGGAATGGTCATCCGGGTTGCCGGAAATCTGGTTTGTTGTTCATCCAGCTCTATTGGTTGCTGGGGATTTTTGTTTTTAACTTTTTGTGGTGGTTATCCGACTCTTGCTGGTTGGTCGGGTCTTCTTTGTTTTGTTCGACTTTGGCTTGATAGTTGAAATTTTGTTTGGTTAAGGTAGTTGTTTTGATCCTGCCTTTTTCTCGCGGTTTTATCTCTTTTTTCTCGCGATTTTGGATTCTGGCTTTTTATTGAGCGTGTGCCTTTTCTCTTTTAAGTTTTTTTTTTGTTACGCTGACTTTTTTGTAAAAGAAGGCAAAAAATGCATGGAATAAAATTTTATTCATGGAAATTTTTATTACAGCAGTTTTTTTTTTTTTTAACCAGTACAGTCCCTAAGAGTCATCATCATCAGAAGGGGTGCGGTGGGGAAAATGTTTATACATGTGGTAGCGGAAGTCGATTTGTTCCTGGATTTCATCGTTGTAGTCCTCCTGGAACGTCGTCCACTCCTGCCGCATCCTCTACTGCTCTTGGCGGATCTCATCTTGGCCCTCTTGAAAGGCCTGTTGGCGAACGTCTTGGACCTGCCGCCACTGGGTCTGCTGCTCTTGCCGTATCGCCATTTGGCCGAACTGCTGGCTCAGATCGTTCATGTGTTGGTGCATGCCAGCAAAGTCCTCTATGTACGGCGGTGGCTGCTGCTGCTGTTGGGAGCTGGGAGATGTGGGCGTATCCTGCATCGCCACTATTCCCCAGAGGTCCAGCTCAAAATCCAGGGTGGGATGCAGGGCGAACTGACTTCCCTGACGTATCAGCATCCCCATGCTGACCAGCATTGGCCCGTTGATGGGCTCGGGTCGCAGATTGCGGGCCGCCTCCTCCCGGCCGGGCACCCCATTCTCTCTCGCTAGAGGGGTGATGAGGGGAGCCACAAGGATGTCCCCCGTGGATCTACTCCCAAAGTCCTTCAGGGCCCTCAGGAGGAAGTACCCGGATTGCAGCGCTGTCTCTCGGTGCATGCAATAGAGGACAAAGAGGTCGGGGAGGGATATCTTCCCCGACTCTCTTTTCTTGCATGGATGGTGCCTCGCCAGCAGCTTGTGGCGTATGCGAGTGGTGGGGGAGTGCAGACCCCCTCATCAATGAGGGCAATGTGGTGGCTCCTGTGAGCTCATGCCACATCTCAGCAGCGGTGAGGTTGGTGGGCCTAGAGCAAATGGCCTCACGGTACTCCCGAGTTAACGTCGCCTCGGGCCGGATGAATCCAATGGACACATTGAATTCCTCCAAAGTGGTAGTGTGGTATTGCCCACCCATAAAATAGTTGACCATTTTGGTGGGTTGCATGCCTGAGGCCATAGAGGGGATCTCAATGAGAGAGACCGAGGCCAGAAATTCGAGTACCGCTTGTGGGTACACATGAACGGGTGGAGGCTGTAGCAGAAAACCCCACCCGATGCTATCGATGTGCGCCCGGACGTCTTCTTCCCATCCGAACTCGGCCAAGATGCCGAAGTCCAGTGTTAGCAGGGAGTGCCACTGGTAATTTTTGAGGTTGTCCAGGCGGGCCTGGTGTTGTGGTTGAAGTTGAGAAGGGTCTGGGGGTGGCGGTGGTGCCGAGCTGCTAGCACCAGCGGTGCTCCTTCTCTTCCGGGAGCCACTTCTGCTGAACATCTTGAGTGGGGAAGGCTTGGGAGAGCAAAATATGAGTGTTGGAGGCTTGGGAAAGCATGGATGGGGAAGAAGTTTGGGATGAAGAAGAAGTTAAGGAGGGAGAAATGATTATGGATGGAGAAGAAATTAGGGATGACGAAGAAAGTAAGGATGGAGAAGAAGTTATGGACGGAGAAGATGTTAAGGAAGAAGGAGAAGAAATTAAGGAAGGAGAACAAGTTAAGGAAAGAGAAGAAGTTTGGGATGGAGAAGAAGTTTGGGATGGAGGAGAAGAATCGAAGTATGGAGAAGAAAATAAGAAAGAAAAGTTTAGGAATGAGAAGAAGTTAAGGAAGAAGAAATTTTGGATGGAGAAGAAGTTAAGGATAAAGAAGAAAGTATGGATGGGGTAAAAGTTTGGGATGGAGAAGAAGTTTGGAATGGAGAAGAATCTACTAAGTATGGAGAAGAAATTAAGGAAGAAGAAGTTAAGTAAGGAGAAGAACTTTTGGATGGATAGGATAAGATATTATAGTTAAGGATGGAGAAGAAACATGGGATGTAGAATGAAGTTAAGGAAGCAGAAGAAGAAGTTCAGGAGGATGGAGAAGAAGAAGTTAGGGAAGGATAAAAAGTTAGGGAAGGAGAAGAAGTTAAGGATGGATAAAATAGTTTGGGATGGGGAAGAAGGGAATGAAGGAGAAGAAGTTAAGGAAGAAGAAGAAGTTTTGGATGGAGAAGAAGTTAAGGGTAAAGAAGAAAGCATGGATGGGGAAGAAGTTTGGGATGGAGAAGAAGTTAAGGATGGAGAAATGATTGTGGATGGAGAAGAAGTTAAGGAAGTAGAAGAAATTAGGGATGACGAAGAAAGTAAGGATGAAGAAGAAGTTATGGACGGAGAAGATGTTAAGGAAGAAGGAGAAGAAATTAAGGAAGGAGAAGAAGGTAGGGAAAAAGAAGAAGTTTTGGATGGAGAAGAAGTTATGGATGGAGAAGAATTTTGGGATGGAGGAGAAGTTTGGAATGGAGGAGAAGAATCGAAGTATGGAGAAGAAATTAAGAAAGAAGAAGTTTAGGAATGAGAAGAAGTTTTGGATGGAGAAGAAGGTAAGGATAAAGAAGAAAGTATGGATACGGAAGAAGTTTGGGATGGACAAGAAGTTTGTAATGGAGAAGAATCTACTAAATATGGAGAAGAAATTAAGGAAGAAGAAGTCAAGGAAGGAGAAGAACTTTTGGATGGACATGATAGGAGATTATATAGTTAAGGATGGAGAAGAAACTTGGGATGTAGAATGAAGTTAAGGAAGCAGAAGAAGAAGTTCAGGAGGATGGAGAAGAAGTTAGGGAAGGAGAAAAAGTTAAGAATGAAGAACAAGTTAGGGAAGGAGAAGAAGTTCAGGATAGAGAAATAGTTTGGGATGGGGAAGAAGTGAATGAAGGAGAAGAAGTTAAGGAAGAAGAAGATGTTTTGGATGGAGAAGAATTTAAGGGTAAAGATGAAAGCATGGATGGGGAAGAAGTTTGGGATGGAGAAGAAGTTAAGGAGGGAGAAATGATTATGGATGGAGAAGAAGTTAAGGAAGGAGAAGAAATTAGGAATGACGAAGAAAGTAAGAATGGAGAAGAAGTTATGGACGTAGAAGATGTTAAGGAAAAATGATAAGAAATGAAGGAAGGAGAAGAAGTTAGGGAATGGAGAAGAAATTAAGGAAGAAGAAGTTAAGGAAGGAGAAGAACTTTTGGATGGATAGGATAGGATATTATAGTTAAGGATGGAGAAGAAACTTAGGATGTAGAATGAAGTTAAGGAAGCAGAAGAAGAAGTTCAGGAGGATGGAGAAGAAGTTAGAGAAGGAGAAAAAGTTAAGAATGAATAACAAGTTAGAGAAGGAGAAGAAGTTAAGGATGGAGAAATAGTTTGGGATTGGGAAGAAGGGAAGGAAGGAGAAGAAGTTAAGGAAGACGAAGAAGTTTTGAATGGAGAAGAAGTTAAAGGTAAAGAAGAAAGCATGGATGGGGAAGAAGTTTGGGATGGAGAAGAAGTTAAGGAGGGAGAAATGATTATGGATGGAGAAGTAGTTAAGGAAGGAGAAGAAATTAGGGATGACGAAGAAAGTAAGGATGGAGAAAAAGTTATGGATGAAGAAGATGTTAAGGAAGAAGGAGAAGAAATTAAGGAAGGAGAAGATGTTAGGGAAAGAGAAGAAGTTTGGGATGGAGAAGAAGTTAAGGATGGAGACGAAGTTTGGGATGGAGATGAAGTTTGGGATAGGAGAAATATCTACTAAATATGGAGAAGAAATTAAGGGAGAAGAAGTTAAGGAAGAAGAAGTTAAGGAAGGAGAAGAACTTTTGGATGGATAGGATAGGAGATTATAGTTAGGGATGGATAAGAAACTTGGGATGTAGAATGAAGTTAAGGAAGCAGAAGAAGAAGTTCAGGAGGATGGAGAAGAAGTTAGGGAAGGAGAAAAAGTTAAGAATGAAGAACAAGTTAAGAATGCAACTACTTCTGTCGGAACTGCGTGGCTACTTAGCTTACAAAGAACCTGAAACCAGGCTAGCTAAAAGGCAGACTGTCCGAGATAAAATGTGGCTTTATGCGAAAGAATATTTAACGTCCCTTATCTCTTCTGTCGGAACTGCGTGGCTACTTAGCTTACAAAGAACCTGAAGCCAGGTTAGCTAAAAGGCAGACTGTCCGAGATAAGGGTGTTTGTTCATGAAAATATTTTGGGTTTTTTTGTGATTTTTGTTCTGTTGTTTGTTTATGCTATGCAACATACAAATGCAACAATCATATGCACACACAATTCGATCATCCCCAAACAGGCGAGATTTCGCTTTTATCACGAGGTAGGGTTTTCCCGCGTAAAAGTGCATTGGTCGTGGTAGGTTCTAACTGTTCTCACCAGGCTAAGGCCCCCAAGGTGCCCCCATTATAGGGTCCCCACTCTCTAGCCGTCCAACCATGCTCAAGCACTAAGGCCGTAGTCGGTCTTGTTGCCAAAAGAGGAAGGTTATCACCTTGAGTGGTGGTTTCCGATCACACCGGTGGGCACAAGGCCCTAACTACAGCTGAACCGCACTCGCCACCCACTCCCTATGGTTATCTCACTTGCCCCCGGGTATAGAGGGAACTCGTAGTGTGCAAGGGTTTGTGTGCGGTTTATATTTCAATCAATTGCATAAGTATAAACAAGCAACAGTTATTTGAAAGCCAAACAATAAAGCATGTTATAATACAAGGCAGGGTAAAAGCGCCATTTTCTTGGTTTAATTATTTTTAAGCCAGCCCATCACTAAATGGGATCAACTCTCTAGGCTTCCCCAGTGGAGTCGCCATCTGTCGCCGCCTCCCATAAAAACGAAGGGGCGGTCGGAGCGACGCGATGGTTTTTTCGACCCTCTTTCTTTTGCGTTTTTTATGGGTGGTTACAACGTCCTTAGGTTGTCCGATAACCGGGCTAACCTAGAGACGAGGTTTTCGAAAAGTGTTCTTGGGTTGTCCGATAACCGGGCTAACCCAAGAACGGGTTTTGAAGGGTTCATGGAGTCGCCACCGATGTTTTTACCAGAAACATCGGAAAAGGAGTTTAAAAAGGCGTTGGTTTTCGAAAACCAACTTTGGTCATTAGAACCAGAGTTGGGTAAGGGAGTTAGTTACGTGCAAAGGAAGTGTTAGTTCCTTTACGACGCCCCTTTCGGGTTCCCTATGATAGGCCGGCTACTTTGGATAAATAATTAAACTGGAAAATTGCGCTTTTACCCTTTTATTATGCGGTATTTAAAGATTATGACTACATCGCCCTAGCGTCTATTGCATAATTTCAAATGAAAGCGGTAAAATTAGACAGAGAGAGGGTGCACCTTCAAAGCAAGTTTTTTGTATTTCTCTTTAAAGAGTGGGTGCTTTTTGGCAACCCTTCACTCTACAACTCTCGGAAACTCCGGAAATGCCTCAGAGGGATTCTAAAGAAGATTTAGGACGCTCAATTTATACCTAGAGACACTCAGAAACTCCGGAAATGCTTCGGAGGGGTTCTAGAGAGAGAAAATCTAGAGAGAAGGAGGAGCTACTGTGTTTTTGTGTGTGGAAAAGGGGGAATGGAACCCCTATTTATAGTTTTTCGTGCCTGACAGGTCGAGACCGCCATCTCGTCTGACAGGGTCGAGACCGCCGTCTGGACAATCCAGACCGCCGTCTCGACCATGGCAGGGGGTCGAGACCGCCGTCTGGATAATCCAGACCGCCGTCTCGACTAGGCAGAAGTCGAGACCGCCGTCTGGACAAGCGAGACGGCGGTCTCGTCCCTGGCGTGAGGCGAGACGGCGGTCTGGTCCTTCCAGACGGCGGTCTCATCCCTTTAGGGCGAGAAACTTTATTTTTCGGGCCAAAAAACCCTCCTATCTTAGTACGGGGGCCTAATAGTCTCTCCTAGTGGCTTGTTAGGCTTCGGTCGTCTTCAAATAGGAAGCTTTCTGACTTTATTTGGAGGCCGGACAAGATTTGGGGTCTACAGTGTTCATCCAGCCTTGTTGATCGGCGGGGATTCTTTGCTTTTGATCCTTTGGTGGTGATTACCCGACTCTTGTTGGTTGGTCGGGCAATCTTTCTTTTTTTTTTTTTTTCTTTGTTCGACTCTTGTTTAGTCGTTGAAAAATAATTGGTTGGATGTATGATTGATAAGGTCTTACCATGGTACCTCTATGCAAGCATGAAGTTGATGAATGTCTTTGTGGTCTTTTATTTATCTGGAGTATATTTGTTTGTTTTAGTCTGGACAAAGCCTTTTGCGTGCAACTACTTGTGTGTGAATGTTTTTGATGCAATTTTATTCTAGTTGGGGCATCTAGAAAGTGACTGGAACTTTCTTTTCTGTTCTTCCGTGCTTATTCTTTTGAAATTTTGTTCTAGCCCTATCTTTTGCCTAGACCGCCCTTTGCGGGTTTTCGATCTAGCGGGCTTAATTCTTGCCTAAGATATTTTGGTGGTTTTTTCTTTTTATGAAGGCCTTATCTTTTGCCTAGACCGCCCTTTGCGGGTTTTCGATCTAGCAGGCTACCCTGTACTTTTTGCTTGGAACGGTCCTGGTTGGCGTTGTTTGTCTTGTTTTTCTTATGCTTTCTCGTATTGTTTGTTTTTATGCATGCTCATATTTCGTTAATACAGAGGCATTCTTGTAAGTAGGTAAAGAGAAACAAAGACAATTTTCATTGATATATAAACAAATGGTCTATTTTTACAGGAGGATTTACAAAGGAATTTATAAGCAGGGGTGGCCAAGGTTGGCTAAACTGTATGGGGTACAACAATCATGCCCGTGATCTCTGTTTCTCCGTTTTTCCCGGTCGCTTCAGTTGAGATGCCCGAGCTTGGAGTGAAGACTACGCAAAGTCTGCCTGCTTTTGTGAAGGTATTACCTTAGTCGCCTTTGCGGTTTTCGACTAAGGTAATCACTGCTCTCTCTCTTTTTCTTTTTTTCTTTTTTGAACCTCTAATTTTTGCCTAGGACGTATCCTAGCGAGGAATGCGGACCCTATCTTTTGCCCAGGACGCTCTTTGCGAGTATTCATCCTAACGGGTCAAGAGCAATGTCTTTAAGCGTAGTATTTCTTTACTGCATCTAAATTAACGGGATATCGAAGCTCTTCTCCGTCCATGTTTGTGAGGATGAGGGCTCCTCCTGAGAAGGCTCGCTTGACCACAAAGGGTCCTTCGTAGTTTGCTGTCCATTTCCCGATTTTGTCTTTCTGGGCAGGAAGCAGTTTCTTTACTACTAAATCCCCTTCTCGGAAGGTGCGGGGATGGACCTTCTTGTCGTAGGATTTCTTGATCTTCTTTTGGTAAACTTGCCCCCGACATATGGCGTCCAACCATTTTTCTTCGATTAGGTTCAGCTGATCATACCGACTTTGGACCCATTCGGCTTCTATCAACTTTGCCTCCATAACAACTCGTAGGGAGGGTATCTCAACCTCTACTGGTAGTACGACCTCCATTCCGTACACGAGGGAAAATGGGGTAGCCCCTGTGGAGGTTCGTACTGACGTTCGATAGCCGTGTAGAGCGAAGGGCAACATTTCATGCCAATCTTTGTAGGTTACTACCATTTTCTGGATGATTTTCTTAATATTCTTATTGGCGGCTTCCACTGCACCGTTCATCTTTGGTCGGTACGGAGAAGAATTGTGGTGTTGGATCTTGAAGTCTTGACACAATTCCTCCATCATTTTGTTGTTAAGATTGGTCCCATTATCAGTAATGAGCCTATGAGGGATGCCATACCGACATATAATATTTTTCTTGATGAAGGTGGTCACCACTTTCCGAGTCACATGCGCATACGATGCTGCCTCAACCCATTTGGTGAAATAGTCAATGGCCACCAAGATAAAGCGATGACCATTGGATGCTTTAGGCTCAATGGATCCGATGACGTCCATGCCCCACATAGAAAATGTCCATGGGGTAGCTAGGGTACTAAGAGGTGTGGGCGGCACACGGATATTATCGGCGTAGATTTGGCACTTGTGGCACTTTTTAGCATACTGGTGACAATCAGCTTCCATTGTAGTCCAAAAATATCCGGCCCTTAAGATCTTTTTTGTCATGACATGCCCAGGTGTGTGGGTCCCAAAGGCTCCTTTGTGGATTTCTCTTATCAAGGTTTGGGCTTCTTCTTGGTCCACACATCTTAAGAGAGTGGAGTCGAGACTCTTTTTGTAGAGGGTTCCTTCAATCAACGTGAATCCTACTACCCTTTTAGGAATGGTTCGTTTATCATTGTCATTAATTCCTTCGGGATATTTGCCCCTCATGAGATATTGTTTGATGTCATGATACCAGGGATTTTGGTTGTGCTCGCCATTTACTGCCATGCAAAAGGCTTGTTTGTCATGTAGCTTAATTTGCATGATTGGCATCTCATGTTCTTGGCTCAAAGAAAACATGGATGATAGAGTGGCGAGGGCGTCCGCAAATTGATTGTCCTCCCGAGGAATATACTGGAAGGTGACACTTTCCATTCTGGAGACTAAATCTCAGATGTGCTCCAAATATGGGATTAATTTAGAATTTCGGGTTTCCCATTCACCTTTAAGTTGATAGATGACAAGGGATGAATCACCAAATACTTTGAGCTTAGTAACCCCATGATCTAAAGCTGCTTGAATTCCTAGCGTGCATGCTTCGTATTCGGCCATGTTGTTGGTACAGTCAAAATTAAGCTTGGCCGTTACAGGGATGTGTTTCTTTTCAGGGGATATCAAAATAGCTCCTATCCCG